TATATATATATATGTATTTGTATTTTTCTCCCTTTACACCTTATTTCATTAAAAGTCAATGTTTTATTTGGACTTTGTGCATAGAGCCCCATCTAACTTTAAAGCTTTTTTTTTCTTTTTTTTTTTGTTTTTTTGCTTTAGATAGCAATGATATTCTTATCACATAATTAATGTAATTCAGTGGCACATTTAATATGAGTATTGTTGACCTAATTAGATAATAATAAGTGATTTTTATATATGAAGAATGAAGTTTTGAGGAGAATTATAAGTATCAATGGGGACACAAGCAATTTGACACTGTATAAAGTAACATGATTTAAATTATGTAAAGAAATTACAACTCGGGGAAAATTATATTTATAGAATTGATTAATAAAAAATGTGTTCTCTTAATAACTTAAAAGAATTTTAATAATTAACAAATAAAAATGTGTTCTCTCTAATAGGTAAAACATTTAGATGTTTGGGCCCGATTCTTTTCATGACCAAGCATTTTGAATTTTTTTTTTTAAAATTTTTGAGTGGCAGTGAGACACTATCCAAGAACTTTGATTGCTCTGATACCAAGTTAAAGTATGTGACCATCTCATCTTAAAGCTAAAGTTATTTGAGAGAACACATTGTTGTTACTTAATTATATTCTCAATGGAAAATATTGACATTTTTATTAATTTGTGGGTATATAATCTTTATTTATAGATAGAAACAAATATTTTTGATGCTCCCTTCATTCACTTTTAGTTGTCCACACTTTTAAATATATATTTTTACTTTTACTCGTCTTCTTTAACATATCAAGAAAAGACAAAAAATAAAAAATTCATGTTAAGAGTTGATTACATTCTATCACTATTTTTTGTTTAAATTAGAAAAGTCTCTTAAATTTGGTGGAATGCGAATACATCCCAAAACATCCATATTACATCACGTCCTAATTTTCAATACATCTCGATGTCCTGATACATCGCGTGAAATAATATATGCGAGAATAGGAGAGAGTAGGGATTTGTGTCATTTTTTCAAACGGTAGGAAATTTTAAAGAATATGGAAAAATTGTGTATTTAGGCAATTTTTCTTTTCAAAACCTAATACTAAAGATCAATTAATAGAGGATAGTACGATGCAATAGTCATGTCAATCGTTGTTTTCTTAATGAGTTTGTTAAGTTCGAATATAACAAATAAAAATGAACGGATATAGTATTAATTAATTTTTTGTTTCACTCACAATAATTTTCGCGACAAGAGTTTATGCTAGTTAAATGAGATGATTTAAGGAAAAAACCAAGTTAATTAAATGAACCTCAAGAATCAATTTAGTTCTTCATAGAGTGTTTATGCTTAAAAAACAATTACCATTTTAAATGAAAAATTATAGTTTTAAGTAATCTTAATTTTAAATTTAAAATATTAACCTGATCTAATTTAAGTTAGTTTCAAAATTTAATCTAATAGACTCTCGATAATAAAAAGTGTCATATCAATTGAAACAAGGGGGAGTAATTCGTAAGATCTATTAAATTCTCCCATTGTAAACAATAATATGGCTCCAAAGTTACAAAAATGTATAATAGCAAATAATGTGAAGTGTAATTTCATACTCTTCGTAATCCATATTATTTGATGCTTTTAGCATACAAAAATAGACGCAATGTAATCTCGTGAATTGGGTCGGGATAATGTGGAGTGTCTGCAGACCTTAATTCTATCTCGTGTAGGTAGAGATTTCTTTTTGAAAGATACTCGATTCAAGTATTGCAAATCAAAGTAGTTATGAAAAAAGGAAATACTGCAAAAAAGACAACAATACGTAGCAATCAAAAAAGAACAATAACAACAGTGAAATAATGTGGTAATTGAAACACAATAAACAACATTCGGTAATAAAGATCAAAAGCAAGAAACCACATACATAGGACTAATATTATGACAAGCACTATTCTACCAGTCTCCCACCAAGCCTAATCATTCTTTTGAAAAGCGAGAGAAGCTCAACTACCTATTAAGTTCTACTTAATTTGTGACCTCCATACCCTCTTATTAAGGTCACGTTTTCGATAAGTTGAAAGTGTGTCATGTCTTGTCTACTTACTCTCTCCAATACTTCTTTGTCCTACTTGAACCTCTCTTCATACCTATTATATCTTAACTCTCACACCTCTTCACTAGTGTTTACACATCTCCTCTTCACATTAACAAACTAGCTCTGTAACATCTCATAACCCAAAATAGCTAAGAAACTAAAATAATCACCTTTGGAAAGAAAGGGGAGAATCTGGAAAATATTTCTAAGTTTAAGAAGTGAGTTTTGATCCTTTTCAAACGGTCGTAACTTCTAGCTCAAGATGATTTAGAGGTAATTCCTGATATAGTTGGAAAGCCTTGGAGAGATCTTTTCAATGCAGCCACGATTGTGTATTTCTGATATTGTATGAGGGAGATAAGCCTATCGGAAGTTGGGCTATTGAAATGAGGAATGTCCTATTTCGATTTTAAGGAAGGGCAAACTAGTCTTTTCAACTCTTATTTTTCCTGATTCATTTTAGGGGTTTATTAGGGGTAAAAATAAGCCTTAAGTAAGTTTTGAAAAATAAATTCACGCTTAGGGCTTGTAGAAGAGAGAAAAATCAAGAATTCAGCAATAACGTCAAGAACTTCGAGAATTCGTCCGGGATGATCCCTATCGATGTATGTTAGATCTTTTG